TAGTCTCACTTGAGCACCCTTGTCACTGTCAGAGCGATCATAGAAATGATCACCGGCTAAAAGCCAAGAGGCAGAAACAACCTTTCGCCCTCCTGCGGCCTGCCCCTTTGAGGCTGATAGTTTACCAATAGTGGCGTAGGTGGTGTAGCCTCAACATGTCTGCAACTCCTGGATCTACAATGTTGCTAAAAACTGTTACTTCCGGTCCATCCACCACGACATGGTCAACCGCGAGAGGGTTACGAGGCAGCAATGTACTCTCAGTACCAAAATCAACTCCCCGGCCCGACATTACAGGGTTTCTCCATACAGTTGTTCTGGCCAACACTGACCTCATTGAGGGTCTGACCCCGTATAAGCCGCCGACTCCTCCGCTATTCTCCGCCCCCGACACCCTCTTGAGCTAATCACAGTGCGGCGTCTTCATTTCCAGGGGCTACCAGACCCAGAGGCAATCCAAAGGACGCCCCAATGTACCACTTGTACCCAGGGACCAGGGGCCCCAAGGCGGTTCCACCTCCACAACCAAGCCCAGGTTTTCCAAGGCGCCGCCGGAGAGTAGGACGGATTGGATGGATACAGGCCGAAACGACCGAAGGCTTTGAGGGGTTTTCCTATCTCCAGTCTCCAGGGATTCCCTTTAAATGTCCTGGCTGCTGCACTTGTCTCTTTTCTATCCATTCATGATAAACGATCGCCCATACCATCTCTGATACTTCCAAAGTTGAGGATCCTGTCAATCCCAAGCTCATTGCCTCGATCATAACAACTCAACAACATACACTCATCATCGAGCTTACACCTTGCTCTATAACAACACGGGACACCCTGTCTTACAGCCGACCACAACACATTATCCACAATGGCCATCCGAGAGCACTTCCGCCGCGCTGTGCGCTCCGACGCTTCAAGCACAAATATCGTCGACGCCAACACCCCAGGAAAGATCACAGCTACCATGACCAAGTCCAGCCAGAACAGCGACAAGTCAGACTCATCATCAAAATCATCACTCGTCAACAAGCTGTCTCGTACCTGGACGTGGGGGTCTAAGGACAAGGATGCCACCAAGGAGCGCAAGACCAAGAACAAGAAGGGGAAGAAGATCACCCACCCTAGCGAGAAGCCAATGACCGCACAGAATCTGCAGCATCAGGAGATGCTCTCTCACTTCGACTTCACCTTTGGCGCCTCTTGTCCCGAACAAATCGAGGAGGACAATTTCATTGGCATCAGCCCTTGCTGCACCAGAGCCCCCAGCGTTGTTGACTTCTCGCTGGAAGGCGACAGCGAAAGCGATGATCAGACTTCTTCCTCGTCTTCCTCCGTCAAATCATCGTAGCCCGTTTCCTGAAATGGCAAGGTCAGTGATAATGGATGGGCGGGCATGCGGGCTCGCCGATTGTCGATAGCGGCGAATCTTGGAAGAGTTCTAGAACCCCAGTTTCAACGCCTGCCACCAAAAGCCCGCAACGTTACTACAACACACCAAATCAGGCACCTCCCTTGGAAGATCCTCGCCTTGGGCGTTGCATTTTTTCCATCCGCCATCTTATCGCAACTCTGGAAGCTGTCTCTGTTCACGACAATATCACCGATTGGGTGATGCAACCATCTCAAAAGATCAGCCCCTGTTCCCACCCAAACAGGAATAACAGCTGACGATCTGAACAACACCACCACTTCAGAACTTGCCTTTAATCATTGCATTAGAGCATAAAAACAAAAGACACCAAAACAAAAGCAGTGCGCATTGGCTGTCTTTCTTATCGTCTTCTCTGACGACGGTGTCTCGGGCACCGAAGGAAAACCGCATGAAATGATTTGAAACGCCACGACATGTGTGGTTTGGAATTGAGCATATTGGATTTAGCGACTGTCTTGAGGAGTTTTGCATACATATCACTTTGGTCATGCGCTGGGCAAATAGACCAAAAGGCGTTGAATCGAACATACCAACAAAAGTCTACTTATTTTACAATCAAACATCTCCTCCTGTGTCATTTGAGATTGACCTTTAACGACTGCTTTTAACAGGGCCAGTTTGGTACTAACTTGCTGTAATAGTTGGTCAGGAATCCCTGAGTTGGCACAACAATCTGGTCTATTAGTAGTTGATGTATAACGATTAATACATATCGATTACGATGTTGTATTAAATTGTCTCAGAAAGAGTGTTTATGTCACCATTGCGCTACTTTCAATGTAGCCTATGCGTTATTCGTGGCCAAATAGGCTTTGTTCCAGCCCGAACAAAGAGCAGCTCCCTTTAATGTAACACAGGACGTTGCTGACAGTTTACTGACATCAAGAACCTATTTGACAACCAGTAACCAGAATAACCATATAACAAAGAATGGAACTTCACATGTTAAGTAGACATACACCTGGTACTCATCTAGATACAAAAGAGTTGATGGATAACTTGACAGCGGAAATTCGATGTAACACAGAGTAAACCATGGATAGGTACCTTACTTATACATACATACTGTCGGTGCACCAATGTACTGCAACTCCAGCTCCATAGCATCGTCGTTATCATCATTTATGTAACTGCGCTTACCCGCCAATGTCACTGCCGCTTGTTTGCTGCATTATTGGCATCTCACCAAGCTCGAGGTACCTTGAGTATTTTACTAAAGACCTCTTCTTTCGCCTTTGATATGAGGTGATCTCAATCATTTGAGGTTCCACCAAAGTTAGTACCTGCCATTGACGCAGCACCTCAAAGGCAGTAGGTTAATGTGAGGTAAGTACGCATGCGCGCGCGGGAAGGCAGATTTTGACACTGCGCGCAGGCTCCTGCTTGCAAAGACCACAATGTACCTCCACTGTGATTTACCCCATCCATTAGTAGGTACCTAGATATCCGTCCCAACATTGAATTAGCTAAGGTACCTGAGGCATTGCCTGAGTTACTGAATCAATGAGGCGCTTTAGTAGGCGAGCTCCTTCACTCGGAAAGATTCTCTCCGCTTGCTGCATGATCTTCCCAACGCCATCATCTTTCCTTGACTTTCTTTCTCACACCAGCATCGAAAATAACCGCCGTCGCTTTCAATTATATCGCGTTTCCTTACTATCGTCGCCATGTCGAGTAAGTCTTGGTATGCTCTCAAGTCCAAGGCCGTACATACGCGATATGGCTTGACCAAGAACATTCAAGTCCTCCTTCAGGGGTTGGAAAGCTTTCACGCCGGCGTTATCGACGCCAGAGAGCTGGGAAGCATGGTCCGGCTGAGTCCTCGCCGCAGAGAATCAGTTGCTGCAACAATAGCCAAGTGCGCGCGCATGATCAACAAGGACCCCCAAGAGTCCAAGACCTGTGTCGACATCATTGAGATGTGCACCGAGATCCTCGAGATTGCCGGTAAGTAGTCCCCTAGTATCTGACAGACCGTTCCCAAGAAGCAGCGAGTGACTCCCTGACCTAGACCGACCACCGCCCATCGAGGGTTTTCCTTTCATGAGACTACCTGCAGAGATCCGAGAGTATATTGTCGACTTGATGGTTGATACCGTCTTCAAATCAAAGGGTATTAAACCCAGCTCACAAAAAGTGAGCTGCAACTGTCCGCAGCTGGAACGCGAATTCGGGTCTTTCCACACTCCTCAGATGAAGGCTTTGCCGTCTATCTTGGGTCCAGCACTCAACCACGAATTCTTTCGCATCTTTTTTCGGAAGAAGGCTGTCCGTTTCCGCTGCTGCTGCGAACTTTTGCATCATCTCGACAGCAATCCACTGCTTGTGCAGAATGTCCGCGACATCAAGGTTCACTGGTGCGGACCCAAGTCGGCAAAAACTTTCAAAAAACTTGCAGAATGTGATAAGCTCGAGGGTTTGACCATCAGCATCTCGAAATCCACACTTGCCAACCTCAGTCCACGAGCCGATCTGATGAAGCAATTCTTCCCGCTATCCTATCGCCATGTCAGGATCACTGACATTCTGGGATTGGACGAGATTTTGACCATTCGGGGCCTCAAGGAGGTGTCAGTTACCCACCTTCAAACAAGGAGCACCAACCTCACCGCTGAGACTGATAGAGCGAATCTCTCAGAAATGCTTGCTCATCAACTCAAGAAAGAAAAGGTTTGTTTCTCCTGACCGACATAATCCGTTCAATGCTGATGTCAGTAGGGTTACGACCCGCTTGACGAATTCTAGGTGGTCAGAAAGGAGCTATTGGGGCTGAGAATTTGCGAGAACTATGACACTCAACTACACGTGCAAACAGGAAATAACTTGGCCCGAGTTTGGAGCAAGGTGTAAGGAATAGACATACTGATGCCTGTCCTCATGGACAGATTGATTTGACCGGCTAATAAGCATAGAAGGATGCGTACTGGTACACAAACGAACGGGAATAGATGGGTTAATTACTAATCTAGGGAATGTAACAACAGTCAAATTACGGAAGACTCCATTTGGTGAAAACACTAAAGACTCCGTACTCAAAAAACGTTGCAATATTGGTCTTGTCTTGTACCAGCACCGAGGTGAGGTATCCGGCTCAAGATCAGCTGGCGAGCTGAGCTGACCGAGCGATGGAAAAAGACGACAAAGTACGGATGTTGGGCTGCACAAGCACAAGTTGACAGCATGTAATGAGTAAAGTCCTACCTGGTGTGATGATTGAAGTCCTTCATATTGGAGCCAGACACGGACTCGAGGCGCTTCTCGAAGTACACTCATTCGTACCTAGTGGTTCTAAGCGTTAAACCTGAATAAATCGTAGACAACAATATAAAAACTTTGAGTTCAAATTTGATGAGTCAGGGAGACTGAGACCCAGCCTGGCTGGATCAGACAGCTCACGTGACTTGTCTTGGGCACGGATCAACTACCATCCGCAACATAGTACTAAAGTTGCACTTGCCCTAGTACCCACCCACAGCCTTTTTTCTTAAGCGAGGGCAACTCAGTCTTCTATCTTCTACACCCGATCATCGAATTCAACGAGCATACGGCAACTGCCCGGTAGAAGTTGCCCATCATGTCGCTCGTCTCGGGAGAGAAGTCGAACTTCCAGTTCGTAAGTCATCCTCTCCAGCATCATCTCATCGATATCGAATTCGACACCGCTGCGCTCGAATGCGCTTGTGCCGTCCTGTTCAGCGTTGTGTGCATCGAAATCGATGATGAGACATGAAACCCGAAAGAAGCAGATGTTAATGATACGCAGATTCTCCGTCTTTTAAACACCAATGTTGACGGAAAGCAAAAGGTTATGTACGCCTTGACCAAGATCAAGGGTGTCGGTCGCCGATACTCCAACTTGGTCTGCAAGAAGGCCGATGTCGATCTCAACAAGCGGTACGCGAGTTTTCATACCTACGAGACATACACAATATACTGACAATAATTCATAGCGCTGGTGAGCTCACCTCTGAAGAGCTCGAGCGAATCGTCACCATCCTCCAAAACCCCACCCAGTACAAGATCCCCACGTGGTTCATCAACCGACAGCGCGATATCGTCGATGGCAAGGACTCCCACATTCTCGCCAACGGTGTCGACTCAAAGCTCCGTGAGGATCTCGAGCGTCTCAAGAAGATCCGCGCCCACCGTGGTCTCCGACACTACTGGGGTCTCCGTGTCCGCGGTCAGCACACCAAGACCACTGGTCGACGTGGCAGGACCGTCGGTGTCTCCAAGAAGAAGGGTGGTTAAACTTTTTATGGGTGTTGGTTATGGGTGGACAGGCGTGACGGCTGGTTTCTCCATCTTTCTGAGCATTTTGAGAGGTTTGCTTTCTGGCACATGCAGCCAAAGCAAGGGCTGTACTCTAGATCAGAGTCACGAATCAAAAGTATTCAAGTAAAGATGTTCTACGAGGGAGCAGGAAGTTTCCATGCTACCGATACGTGAATTTTTATGGTTCTACGAAGTCAACGACAGGGTAACCCGGTGACAACATGGGTATTGCTACAGAAAGGAAAATATTCTGTATGATTCTAGGCAAGGGTATCATGACTTTTCTTTTGACTGCTTGAATGTGTTTGTTACTCAATCCTCGTGCGTGACAGCCATATCCAAAACCTCAACTCTTCCCTGTCCCTTAGTCTCATTGCCAATAAAGTCGGATAGGGGCTTAAACGCTCCAGGTTCTACAAAGCCGACCACTTCCCATTCCGAACCAACGACATCTTGACTCTCGACTTGCTCAACGTAACTGAGGATCTTGTCTTTGACTGTCCCCACGGCCTTTTGCTCGCCGTCTTCTTCCTTGTTACCTCCCTTGGCTCCTTTCAGGGCTTGCTTGAGGACGTTGGTGGTACATGCGATACGAAGCCTCATGCGTGCCCTCGCCACTGGAATGGGCTGATGAGCGATGAGGGCTTTCATGGCTTCGAGGGCCTGGCTCTTTGCGCTCTTGGTCGTGCTAACCCCCGTCCAGTTGTGCTGGGCTCTGGGCTTAGCTTCGCCCGCTTCTCCAGTCGCAGGTGTTCCAGTAGCACTTCCGGCAGCGCTCTTGTCTGGTGTCGCGGTATGGGCCTGTGAGCTGAGCATGTCGAGAGCCTTCTCGATCATGCCAGAAGTATAGACGCGCTTGGTTCTCGGATCGACCAGTTTGCTAGCGACTATGCTGACAACTTCATTGTGCACCCGCTCTGTCTGCGCCGCGCGCTCCTTCTCGCCGACTTGCATCTCGCCCTTTTTCAAAATCTCGAGGATGATGTCGTCTGTGGACTTGCCCTTGCCAAAGGCCTTGTCGAGATCCTCACGAGGCGCTGTTTGCCCCTTGGACACGTTGAGGAAGACGTTTGGGATCTGGAGGACATTATCGAGATCTGTCTCAATCCCGGATCGCCACTCGAGGACCTTGTTCTTGTAGCAGGCGAGCTCAAAGCGCTTCTTTCCCTTCTTGAGGCGTACGAGGGAGACGTTTGTGAGCTTGATTTGGTTGGATGGTTGTTGGATCTGGCGAGACATGGTAGGCGATTTATTTACGAGATGGAACAAATTAGAGAAGGGAAACAGAGGGCGCTGCGTTGAGTTGCTGAGACTTGCGTAGAGCTGAGGTAGTTAATAAAGACAGTACCGAGTTAGACACTCTCACCTTCTCTACCAGAACTTTTTTCTGGACCCCGCCATCAGTCAGGTTTGGATTTCCTCCTGCGTAATAATGCCCCGCACCAATGAAGAATATAGTGGTAGGCCTTCGTCATACCTTTTGAGTCATAACGATATGTACCATGCCTCAGTAACCATTCATTGAATTTAACCAATTATAATGACGCATTGCCCTTGTTCTCAGTATTAAGGCATATATGTACTGAGCTTCTATATTATGTGTGATTGGTTTCCTGTTCTTGTAAGTAAGCAGTAGTTGTTGGAACAATGCGGATGGACTAAACTGGCTGATAACTAGAATCAACATGACTTACATGGATGAGACTCGCAATATTTACTACGAACATGGCACGTCCCCTTAATACCCTCGTCTGACCTTTCTCCATAATCATTTTATAAGTGACAACCGTGATGTATCTTAGCAACTGGCTAGGTACCTTACCTTACCTTACCTTACCTTACCTACATTCATGTCGCCAAGCTTGCGAATAACTTACACCTCGCCTCGTATAATGTGACATGTCTTGGCAATCGGTCTGTCTCTTCATTTGACGAACAAGGTCTAATTGTGACTGCTTATGTCCCTATCTGGAGACTGGGTCGTGTGGTCAGCTATTAGCATCCTGCCTGGCTACGGTTTTCGTATTATGATTTTTGTTATTTTATTATTTTTCCCTTACCGTCAGCCTTATGAGGCCACCGAGCTTTTAACTTACATTCGAAGGCTTGAACAGTGAGGCCCCTATAGCGGTTTCTGTAAAGGATGAATGCTTTTGCGTAAACATGCGGACTACTTTGATCCTATAACAGTATCTGGACAGATATAACTCATTTCTGCGTATTCCTGGAGACGAACTCCAATAAACAATACCTGTTCGTCTGCTGAATGACTTGCAAAATATCGATCGTTTTATCCAGGCCGCCGCTCTAAACTCAGTACTTACTCAGTAGAGACCATGTGGTTTAGAAATCAAGCGGGCGGAGACCTATGGATGGGGGGGTATGTGTGCTTTTCACTGATAAAGAACGATGTCTGGATGTTCTATAGTGGCCAGGATGCTCTTAGCCAAGTAATGTTTATGTATCGGCTTTGGCTTAAGTCTGAGGATATGGAGGCTTAGATACTGAGCATATTCTCCATAAGTAGGTCGGTATCCATGCGCTCAAGCTCGAGCTTGCTTTTATTAGCCCAGGCGAAGTTTGGCAAAACTACTTTAGTGAAAAGGAGAAATTACATAGGTAAGTCAAATGGACATTGATGAAAATGTTGTCTCTCTTCAGGAACATATGCCTCTTCGATACAATTGCAACACAGGGCAGATAGGAACTTGAATCACCGGCCAAAGTTGAACGTATTAATATAATGTTAAACCATCCTCAGAGGGAGCAAGAGAACATCAGACCTTGATATAGGGTATCAAAACAAACTTAGAAGAGCCCTCTGAGCTTAGGCTATATTCACCTGAATCCCCCTAGACCATGCAAAGGATAGGCAATAAAGCTACCCGTTGGCTCATGATGACCCGTCTAATCAGGTATCAGTTACAACTTGCCGCCTCACTCATGTTTCATGCCTTGTGCTGCTACATACATCCATATTGGTAGGCCGATTGTGGTCGCCTTATGTACTAAGTAGGTTGTGGTGGGAAGGGACGGTTAATTACCATTAAAACAAAGTATATGACTAAAATGAAATCCAGCCTCCTTTGTGTTCCAGAGTCATTCGAGCAAGCTGCCGCCTGGTGAGAATGGATACTATCCGATCATGGCAAGCTTACAGCCATGAATGAGACATACTTGAACGGAATCGTAATCAAGCTCTGACCATGTTTTAGTGCATGCATTATCAGTTCAGACGCGAACGGTAACACAGCAAACGGGCACTGTATCGTCTACGTCACTGAACCGGCACCGGCTTTACACCCTGGCCACACCTAAACAATTGCTAGAATCATGGAGAGAGTTGAGATTGCGAGATACGGCTCAAGTCAGAGAACATTGGCCACTTGGTATTACTCTGTATCGACAAGAGCATTCATTCATCCATCATCGCGAGGCAGCTTCTAAAGGCAGAGTTAAATCCCGAGCCGAGCACCTCTTATCAACGACTCATCAGGGTAAGATAGCGTCGTCGAGTCACGTTATCGAGCATAGAGTTGTTGGCGCAAGCTGCCTTCCTAGCTTAGCCTGGTCCTTTGGTACCTTGCGTATAGGTGACACGCAATGCTGCACTAACAGTTACACAAGTAGCTACAGTGGCTATCTGATAGCAGACCCCCCCGACAACTGCCTGAATCGCCCCTGCCGCTAGGAAGCTAGCCGCTACGCGGGGCGTGTTGAGTGGTCAGCTGCGTTGCTGGGCGTCCCATCTGATGGAGGTCTCAGACGGTCTGGGGGAGCTTCCCCAGCCATATTACGTCGCTTGCCTGGCTTGCGCGTTTACTTCTCTCTCTTCCATCAACAACATCATCACTTTTCTTGTCCAACAACTGCTCCGTATTCTCTAGTCTGTCATCTTCATCTTCAGAAAAAGCAGTCACTGAAGCCTGTTTACACAGCAGACAATGCGTTTGTCAACTTCCGCGCTCGTGCTGGGCGCTGCCTCTTCGGCCATCGGTCTGCAAGAGCAGCAGGTTCTCGGCGGCGACTCCAAGCCTCTCGTCGACATCGACGTCAACGCCTGGACCAAGCCCCTCGAGAAGTTCTTTGGCGAGATCTCATCTGAGGCCAAGGCCGTTTGGGACGAAGTCACTCTTCTTGCCCCCGACGCTGTCGAGGCCTTCAAGAAGCAGGTCCTGACCCAGCCTAAGAAGGCCAACCGTCGACCCGATGCCCACTGGGATCACATCGTCAAGGGTGCTGATGTCCAGTCTCTTTGGGTCGAAAAGAATGGCGAGAAGCATCGCGAGGTTGGCGGGAAGCTCGACAACTTCAACCTCCGCGCCAAGAAGGTCGACCCTTCAAAGCTCGGTGTTGACAAGGTCAAGCAGTACAGTGGTTATCTTGATAATGAGGAGGAAGACAAGCATCTCTTCTACTGTAAGTTGTCGTCCCGACTCGCGCCAAATCTGAACTAATACCTGGGAGGGTTCTTCGAGTCTCGTAACGACCCCAAGAACGACCCTGTCGTACTCTGGCTTAACGGTGGCCCTGGCTGCTCTTCCTTGACTGGTCTCTTCCTTGAGCTTGGACCTGCTTCCATTAACAAGAAGATCGAGCTCGTCAACAACCCCGAGTCCTGGAACAACAATGCTTCCGTTATCTTCCTGGATCAGCCCGTCAACGTAGGCTACTCCTACAGCGGTGGTTCCGTCAGCAACACCGTTGCTGCCGGCAAGGACATCTATGCTCTCCTCACCCTGTTCTTTCACCAGTTCCCCGAGTATGCCAAGCAGGATTTCCACATTGCTGGCGAGTCCTATGCAGGCCACTACATCCCTGTTTTCGCCAACGAGATTCTCTCTCACGATGACCGCAACATCAACCTCAAGAGCGTTCTCATTGGCAATGGTCTTACTGATGGCTACACCCAGTACGCCTACTACCGCCCCATGGCCTGCGGTGAGGGTGGCTATCCTTCTGTCCTTAGTGACAGC